CACTGCAGAGTTGCGATCACCAGTGGTCACTGATGATCACCAGTGGTAACCAGTGAAGACCAGTGATGAGCGATGACCATCACCAGTGATAACCAGTGACGGATCGGTCACTAGTGATGACCAGTGATAGCGATCGGTCACTGGTTATCACTAGTGATAAAGGGCAGTTATCACTAGTGATGATCGTGATCACTAGTGATCACCGATGATCACCGAGCACCGCCACTCATGTCGTACCTTTTCCGTTAATTGCAACGATCGGAGTGTTCTAATTTTGGTCCGATTTCCAAATAGGCACAAATCAACGCCAATTGCCTTTTAAGGCTTATTTCAAAATCGACCTCGGCAGGCTCCCGGCTCCCGCTGGCTGCTACCTTACAACTGTACAGTATTTATCTAGCGCGTGCTTTTTTCCCCATCATCTTCCTTCTTCCTCTTCCTCCACCATCTTTTTTTCTCCGTTTCTTCCTCCGATGCAAGTCCCTGTTCTCTTCGCCCGCAAGCGCTGCCTGGTGTGCGACTGCAGCGGTACCACCTATGACAGCCTCTTCCGCAATGTGAGTCCCCTCGCTGCCTTTGTTATTCACTCACTCACCTCCGCCCAGATTCCCAGGGTGCCCACGGAGGAATGTCTTTGCGGGCACCCCCTGCATTCCCACCTTCCTTCGAAACGCGAGAGGGACCACGTTCTGGCCCTCCACCCGCGCGCCGTCGCCGGCGGCCTCGCCGCCGTCCACTGCGCCGCATTCTTCAGTGTGCGTCCCGCGCACGTCTTATCAGATGTCTTTATTGACTCCCATTTCTATAGCTCCAGGTAGAGTGGGCCTTCCGGACCTCCTGCATTTGCCACAGTCCGTGGTTCGCCCATGACCGGTACGCCTCTATGTCATCACACCTTGCCCCCTTAGTTAAACTTTTTTAAGCATTGATGATCCGTCGTCTCCAGCACCGTCTCAGCCCGACCCTCGTGTCCCCCTCCCAGCCCCCTCTCCTTTCTCCTCCACCTCCCACACTACCCCTTCCACCACCTTCATCACGGCGACGGAGGTCGCTGCCCGCAATCAGCAGGTCGTCACGCGTTCCACGCCTATCGCGGTGTTTCAAAATGCCGGTCCTGGTCATGGTTCACCCCCCATCGCAACCTTCGAAAGGCCTGGCCCGGATCTTCGCTCACCGCCTGAGCGGCGTGCGGTCAGCATCGCCAATCATCTCACCCCGGAGACGCGCCTCCCTGACACCGTCGCCATCCGCGGCAAGAAAGGTCGACGTCAAACGTCTTCACGCAAGGTCAGCTCCTCGAATGCGGCCGGCAACTCGTCCAACCTGTTCGCCTCGCAAGTCCCTGTTCCCGCGCAACCCGTGAAGCCCGTCACGTTCACCGTTTGTCTCTTGCCGTTCCAATACCCCGTTCGTCCCTCTCTGTCTTTTTTGTCCGCCTGTCCTGAACGCCACCACTCAGACTCTCGGCGGCGACGACGACGACCCCGTGGTTGCATACGCCGGATCGGCGGATGCTTTTCCCGGCTTTTTTCGCCACCTGCAGCGACAAAACCTCACCTTGGTCATCACTTTCCGCGGCAGCAATCTGTGGAAGGATGTTGACCAGGATGTCCGCGCTCATGCACACAGCCACGGTCTCGTCCTCATCAAGCCCCGTGGGTACTCCGACCAAAGTTTTGACCACCACGGTTGGCGTCTCGTCGCCCCGGCCAATGCGAGTCGCAACAACGGCACCGCGATCCGTGCCTGGACCCTTGTCAGCATTCGCGAGTACGAGTTCGAGGTCAGCCACATCACCAAGATCGGTCAGCGCATCCAGGGCATCGACGATTGCCCCGTGCTGCTCCTCGGTACGCAGTGTAGTTGTCCCCTCTATGCGTCCTCATGTTCTCTTTGCAGTTCCTACCGAGGCCCACCTTGAGGGGCCCCTCTATCCCGGCGGTCCTCCCCATCGATGCTTCCCCTGGACGTCTCTCCGAGGCACCGCCCTAATGCAGGACGACCCCCCCTCGTGTGAAGAGCTGCGTTGCGCCCCCGCCGTGTTGGTGGCCGCTGCGGTCAGTTTCCCCTTCCTCATCATCATCTTCCGCGTGCGCTCACGCAGCACTCCCCCAGGCCTCGCGCACCTCGCGCCCACGCACCCCCTCCCTCGACGAGCCCGAGCAGCGCCGCCCCGCGCGCCGTTTGCGCACCTTGGTTCGTACCTCCTCTTTCCCTTATCTTCGCCGTCGCTGACTTCCGTCTCGCAGTCGCCCGAAGACCCAGATCCCCCTACTATGGCCGAAGTCCTCGCGGTCAGTGCTGCCACTGCTGATAACCCGTCCCATGCTCACCTTGACCTCAGGAGGTTTCCAGTTCTGCCGGTTCCTCGCCTCATAGCTCCACCCCGCAGCCCCGATGGGCGCAGGACGCGGCCCCCCGGGTCTTCGCCCTACATGCAAGCCATGCCGCGACAGCCCACCGATGCTGCCATTTCCGTTTCGTCTCTCGACTCGGATGACGAGGAGATCGAGGTCGTTGCTGACTCCCGTGTGGACGACACCGAGGACATGGATATCGACCTAGATATCGACCTCGCCCCACTGCCGCCCACCCCGACGCCCGCGCCTACGTTAGCATCCCGCCTGGCCGCCGCCGCCGAAGCCCGACGCCTCGCGGCCCGCTCCGTAGCGCCGCCATCCCTTCCCGCCCCAACGTCCCCGCCGCCGACGGCATTGCTGAACGCTCCGTGGCGCCGCCACCCGCTGCCCCCGCTGTCGCCCTACGCGCCCCCGCCGCCGCCCGCATTGCTGACCGCTCCGTGGCGCCGCCACCCGCTGCAGCCGCCCAGCACATGATGCCCCCCTTCCTGCCCTCGCAGGCCATCATCCAGCCCCCGCCCCCGCAGGAGGTGCTCCGTGCGAGTGCCGCCCAAGTCACCGCCTACATCCGCCACCAACCGAGGACCCATAACCTGCAATCCCTGGATGCGCCCACTCCGGAACTCCTCGCGACTGTGCTGCTCACGTTCCTGCGCAGCCGCTCGGGAATTAACAGCCCCAGTGATCCGATGCAATATGCTGTTCCCCGCAATGTTAAGTGCACTTTGAGGGACGTCTCTCACCTGCAAACGCGCTACCTCAAAGTCCACATGCAAGTCTTTTCCGTTCTCTGCCGCACCTCGCCCTCGCTCACTCCTCTCCCCCACAGAGGTCCCGCCACCGGCCGAGGGCCCATCAGGGCGGTTTTCACCGCTGGCCTGCAGGAGATCGTCGGCGACCCCTTACGCTGGGGCGCGAGGGGTCCTTACTTCATGCCCGTCTGGTCGGCACCCAACCTGAGAATACCGTCCCGCCTGACTGCGTACTGGGCCGCCGGACGTTGGGCCGCTCTCTCCATCATGCATCGAGATGGGCTCGGGCCCGACCCCATCAGTCCTTTCCTCCTCATCCTTGCTATTCTCGGGTTTGAGGATGGCCTCGAGCTCCAGTACCACCTCATCGCGGCCTTAGATCCTGCCGCTGCGGAGACCTTGCTTCCTTGGTTGGTGCTGGACCACAATTCCGTCGTGCCCCCGGGCTCGGTCGCGTCCAGTCGCGTCGGCCAGCTCCTTCTCGAACGTGAAATCACGGCTGAGGTCCGTTTCTCTCGTAGTTGGACCCTGCGCGCCGTATTTGACCCCTCTCCAGCTGAGCATCATGAGTCGCAAGCGGCGGCTCGGTGAGCATCGCAGCATCGGCCGTTCGTTGTTTGCCAGCGTGTTACTCGGCCTACCCGAGTATGAACACCACTACGAGCTCCACGCCTTTGTCGACGGCTTCCGCGGTGCTCAGACTCCTGACGCGATCGAGGTCAGCTCTTGCCTCGCCTGTCTTTACCCCGTGTATTCACCTTGCCGCTCCCAGTCCTTCAAAGAGAGTAGCAGCGCCAAGCCTTTGGAACTCATCGCGAAGATGTACGACTGCCGCGTCCGCTCCGTCGACGAAATCCTGGCCCGCCTCGTGTGGGTTACTACCGATGACCCGGATCCGCACGCTGACGCGTTCTTCGGCCTCTTCGAGATCCGTTTCATCCGCTATCTCTGCGGTGTTGGCCATCCCAGAACGACGTGAAGCGCCGTGGGGGAGGGGGCTTTCGACGAGGATAAGCAGGATCCCCTGACGCGAGCGCGCCTCTTCCTGTTCGCGATGGTGGAAAGTTTCGCAATACCCTTGGCCCCCGACTTTCAGTTTACGGTCAGCCATTTCTCGTCCTCTCGCGTCGTCGTTCTTACCTTTGACGCAGATCCTCTTGACCCGCGGGAATACCCCCCAGCCGCCCCATTTCCATTCGTGCTCCGTCACCTGCGACATCCAGATCGACCCCTATCTGGAAAACGCCTTGAAGGAACCCTGCGACTTGGATGATCCCGAGGACGCGACTTTGTTCGACGAGTGGCTCCATCTCATCCTCCTGGCCAAGCCGTCCTACAACCGCATCTGAAGCCTGGGTCTTTGTCGTTCCATAGCCACACACACGGTCTTTACATGTCTATCTATACGTCTTTCTACACTCTCACTACATTACTTGTATAATATGGACTATTTCCCTTTGTCAGGGGACTGTAGTGTTCGAGAATGCGAGTACATTGTACACCTATCTACTTGTATGGAGTTCTCATAAATCCCCCACAGACCTCATGGTTCGGGAACAAAAGCTAAATAGCCGGCTCGATGCTGTGCGGCCAAGTTTAGCTTGGGATCCACCGGCACTTTCCGGTAGATCACCATCAGATCAGTAGTAGATAAGAAGAAAAAGCTAGGTATACTGGCTACGGGGACGACGATATTCATTCCAGCTGCCTACCCCCAGGCTCAGGAGCTGATCTTCATCAAAGTCTGCCGAAATGTTAACCATACCCTCGTCTCTGGGGCGAAGGTCAAGCCGAAAATACTCTACACTATAGATATGGCGCGAATATAACTGATTAATGGCTGGACATTTACCGCTGGTATATCCAGCGACTTAAGCCCTCTAACGTTGCTAGCGTGGTGCAATGGTTAACACATCGTCGGACATTTTCGGTTTCTTCGAATTCTGGCGAAGATCTCGGTTCGACCCCGAGCGCTGGCACTGTCGCGTTTGAGTTTTGACTTTTTCTGTTGATTATTTATCGTTTTATTTGGGCTATGCAGTTATATTATATCAGTTGAGACTGGTAACGTGGCCAGCGTGGTGGAGCGGTTAACATGTCACCAGTATTTCTCAGCCTTTTCTGTTTTGTGGTGAAGACCTCGGTTCGATTCTGAGCGCTGGCATTTTTTGAGCTCCTTTTTGAAAAACGATTTTGTACTACTGAAATCAAGACGCCCCATCTGAATTTCAAGTGTGCAGTACAATTTCCATCACGCGAGTTGCCGACCATCACCAGCCAATTTCACGTTCCTCTACGGCTTATCTTCACCCATGTCGGCCTACCGCTCGCGCTCCTACTGGCGGGAACGACAACGACAGCGCGAGCTTTTCGAGGCGCACCAGATCGGCGCGCCTCCGCCCCCACCCCCCCAGCAACGCCCCTGGCGCCCTCCGCCTGTCAACTACCTGCTGGGACCTCTGCAAGACCAGGCCCCCATCATCACCTTCACGCCGCAGCGGGTGGCCCCCCTCTACACCGTCGTCCAGAACGACGGGTCCCTCGTTACCTCGGCCTCCACCAGCGAGCGTCCCGTCTTCGTGCCACCGCCCACCAAGAATGTGACGAAGCCGACGCGGGCGGCGGCGATAGCGGAAAGAGCGCAGGCCATTCTCAGGGCCCGACCTGACCCAGATGCGCACCTGCTGGCTGAGCTGGCGGCGGGCCCGGCGGGTCGCAAGCGCGCGCGCGCGGAGCAAGAGGATCAAGCCTCTTCGAAACGGTACGCGCCTGAAATTTCTTCTCACTCTGTTTTATTCTTATTCCACTCAGGGCGCGACGAGGATAGAAACACAGTCCCCCCGGCGTAGTAACCTCTGCTTGTGAAATTCCAAAAAAAAAACCCACGAAATTCCTTTCCAAACGACATACCAGATCGAACCATATCTCATATCTGACATCCGGCGTGTATCAAATGTGGCTATGATATGTGCACTATAAGTTCAGCAGCATGTTGGCGGCGGCTCTGGCGTCGAGCATGGCCTTTGGACATTCTGATAAGGTCCGGGAACAAAAGTGGTGGAGGCAGCCTGTTGTTCAGCCGATTTTATCGGCAGTCTTTCGAGTTGCTCCCCGCGTGACTGGCGCTGGCCGCGTTGGTCACCGCAGGCTCCGGCGTGCCGGAGCTTTTAATGTTAAGCCTGGAAGCGCCGATGAAGGTGCGCTGCGCCACGGGGTTCTGGCGCAGATGGTCCAGGGGATGCGGAGCGGAGCTGGTGGGGCTTGTGGTGCGGGTGCCATTCGCGCCGGAGGCAACGCTGGCGGTGAACAGCGCCAGTGCGGGCGCCCCATGTGGGCATGTCGCCGTTCGCGCACTCCTTCTCGTCGACGTTGACGGTGGATGGCGGAACGTTGGGGGCGGCGACCCCCTTGGCGCCCTCCGTCTCGTCGCTGGACCTCACCGTGGGCTTGCGATCCTCACTCTTGGCGTCCACCGCCGTGAGAGCGGGGTCTGTCGCGTTGCCCGACGTTACCGTGAGCTTCCTATCCCCCTCGTCCACACTCTGGGCGTTCACCGCCGTGCCCTCGTCATCGCTCTCCTCGACATCCTCCGGGTCTCCAGGGGGTGGCGTCGCCTGGTAGTGCGAGGCTTGGCAGTTTCTGCTGCGACAGAGCTGCGCCAGGCGCTCATCAAGTGCCTCCAGTGTTAGCAAGACCTCACGCGTCGCTTCGGCCTGCTTCCCACGAGTGGCCCTGGTGTACTCGGGGCTGCGGGGACGTCATAGAACACAGATAAGCCATAGAGCAGGGAATACTCACTAATGCGTGTATAGAACGACCTCCCCATCCCTGCCCCCAAACACTAAATGGAAGTTGCTCCGCTTGTTGCAGGAGTGGGTGCTCCAGCCCCTGAACGCGGCGCCTGGCATTGCCGGGATTGCGCAAGGGCGATACCCGTCGGCGCGTCGGGCGGGCTTGTAAGTCGTCATCTTTCTGGCCATGTTTGACTATGGAGAAAGGATCAGTAGGTTCGAGTGGCTCAGCGAGACCTCTGCTAAACAAAAGATACGAAAGGGCCTGTGCCGGCGCGCTCACTCGGGTTTCTCGTCTCTCAATCCTCAGTCGATTTCTTACATTGCATTCCAGCGTATCTAATATATGTACGCGCACTCACCTATGACGGTCCCAAACTAAGAGCAAAATAAGCGCCCACACGGCTGTGCAGCCCCCTTTGGCTCGGCATCGACCGGAAAGTGCCGGTCGATGCCAAACTAAATTGGGCACGCATTCGTCAGCTGGGCGTCTATACACTTTCGTCTAACGCCAATGGCACGCACCAAGCAGAATGCAAGGAAGGCGACCGGGGGCCCCGCGCCTGAAAAATCGCTGGCGCCAGCCAATCAGCGCGTAAACCCTGCAGCCCCGCCTGCCCCGCCCTCCAAGAAACGCAAGAGAGAGCCGGACGGCGACAACTCGCGCGCGGTACACACATCGTCTGAAATCAGTCACCGCCATTGACTGCGCGTCCAGATCGCCATCCCCGCTCCCAGCGCGGCCCCACCTGCGAATACCGTTCAGTCTTGCAACAGCGTAAGTGCCTCCAGTCTCTCTGTCGAAATATCTCACATTTGCTTTCAGTTCTGCATGGGCTGCGAGGACTCCGGCGACCTCGTGCAATGCGAGCTCTGCGACCGTTGGATCTGTCGGCTCTGTATCGAGCTCCCCGCTACGGGCGAGATGCACATGTACACCTTCTACTGCCCCCGATGCTGGCACGATGGCCACCCTCTCATACCCGCATGGACAGAGGCTGGTGCGAAACACATGGCGGGCAGAGACCAGCCATACCAGGTGCGTCATCTCCTATACCATCTGCGCCGCATGCTCACCCATACTCCCTAGGGTATCTGGCTCGACCAAAAGCCACAGGGCGTCACCACGTACACAGGCGTGCAGACGCAGCGGGCGCTCTGGCCTGCGCTAAAACCAGGCCGCCTGGCCATCGTCTCCATCCGGCTCGAGGCGATGGCCCTCCTCGGCGACCCCGTCACCACCGTCCTCAGCCACCTCGCGCCATATTATCTTCACGATCCCTTCCTCTTCGAGACGCACAGCTACAATCTGGACGCACGCATCGAGGAGCACGACGACGCCGTGGAGGCGCTTGCCGCACGCTTAGCAGGGTGAGCTCACCCTCCCGTTTTTCACCGCTCGGATGTAACCCGCCCGAAACAGGTACGCCCCGGATAAGGTCGTAATTTTCCTCACAACGCACAGCGTCCCCGGCACGGGCCTCATCCACACCGCGACAGGCGGTACTGCGGCTGCCGACCCCGCTGCGGTACGCGCTCTCGTGCACGTTCCCCCGCCCTGTACTGACTCCCCTCCCCCCAGGTTCTGCGTCGTTTAATGCCCGAGGCACTCCAAGATGTGATCCGCGATGCGGCCACCTCCCTCCTCGTCCTCCAAGCGTGCGGCGCGTTGAATTCCGACCCAGCCTTCCATGCCGTCAAAGATTTCGTCGCTGAGTGCGTCAGATGGCCCGTGCTCTCGAGTTTCGCTCACGTGTTTTGTGCAGGGCGGGCTTCCAATATGCCCTGGGATTCACCGCCGCGCATTTCATGCCCGCTGCCGCCAACGGCTTCCTGCAGGAGACGATCCACTCCTTCGTCGTCACCGGCCACGCCAAGAAATTTCGGCACATCCTGGCTTCTAACTACGAGCTGGGCATTCACTCCGACGTCCTCATGTATTTCCCCAAGCGCAAGGTTTACCGCTACGTGTGGACTCACCCCCTGCTGCGCCCGTACGGGCACGCCGTCACACCCCAGTGCCCGCGCTGCAGGAGGCTTTCTGCGTACGTGATCAAGACGCACACCGAGGACAAGATCCAGCTCGCTTGCCGCCACTGCGACCACTGCAAGACCTACAACCGCGGAGACCTCCAGCCGCTCGACGGGCCTTGGTCCAAGCGGGACAAAGGCGTCGGCGGCAACTGGTACGGGCAATGGCTCACGGACGCAGTAGAAAAGACGCAGCCCGATTATCACTAGACACTCGTATCGTAGCATGTAGATAGAACTAGCCCCGCTAAATTTCTGGGCCTTATCATTTTTTTGTGTACAACTCACGTGGTCGTGCGAAGCTCGTGGCCATTAAAAGCGTGACGGTGTTTATGCGCCAAACAGGGAACCGCGTCTCCTTCGACGCTCATCTTGTCGTCCTGGACTTGTCCGCTGGAGGGCAAGTCCGACGTCTGCACCGACCTGCCCCACGCGATGCCTCCGCGTGGTGTGCAGGGGTCGTCATCTCCTGGGGCAATCAGGGGTGACGGCCAACTGGCGCGGCGTTCGGGACAGACCTGCCCCCACCTCAGCTCTTGCGCGACGGCGGGGAGGCTCCTCTTAGCGGGGCCTTTTGCAGTAGCCCGGGCCTAACCCCGCAGTTAAGCGGGTGCAGGAGCTCGTTGCCGCTTACAGGCTTCGACACGGGTATTTGAGATGCAGTCGGTCGTTCGCGTCGCGCCCCTCTCTTCGAGTTCAGGGGGATAGGTTGCGTGTCATCTGGCGTGTTGGCTTCGGCGGCGGGTTGTGCTAGTTCAGGGGGATAGGTGACGTGTCATCTGGCGTGTTGCCTTCGGCGGCTTGTGCTAGATGCAGAGCATGAGCGACGGTGGGCGAGGCGCGTCGACCATCTTGCGGCGGAAGCCCCGGCCTGCAGTGAGATGCTTTGCCGGTTGCCCTCACATTCTCACTTCCCTTGCAGGAGCTCGACCCTTCTCGACGCGCAACCACTTCCTCAAGCTCAAACATCCACCCTCCAGCGCCCCATTTGACGCGTCGCACGTCTATCCGGTGAGGTTTCCCTGTCGTCGTTGTCCGACCTGACGCGCCATGGCTCTTAGCAGCGAACGCTCGCCCGCCGGTCAGGGAAGGAAGATGCAAGAACAGCCTGTCGTCGACACACAGGTAAGTCGCCCCGTCCACCACCTCGCGCCACCACGCAGCTGACTTGGGCTACATAGAGGAGACCTGGACAACTCAAGCATCTACCCACGCGCGCAACTGACGCGCCGCAACCCGTCGTCACAAGTCGTCATTGCGTGAGTCGCTCTGTCCGCCTCGCGCGCCACGCCTGCTCACTGTGTTTTCAAGACAAGACCTCGAGCGCAACCACTGCCTCAAG